AGTATATTTGTGCCTAAACCAAAGGTATTTGTGATGGGCCACATTAAAAACAGCTTTGGGAAGACTTCCTGCATTAGGTTTTGTTCTGCCTTGATTTGATTGTATTTCTCTAGGCCTTTCACTTGCCACTTTAAATACAAAGTCTTTGCAAATGCTCTGAGTGTTGCTTTGCCTAATTTGTAAGCTTGGAGACCTGTGAATCCTTTATTTGAAACTTGCTTTAACTGTGGGAAATAGGAAGTGAGCAGGGAGAAGCAAATCTTTTATAGAGAGGGGCTTGTTCAGACTGCAAATGAGGCACCTCACAATGGGAGCAGCAATGGCAAGCCTGGAGCCCACGATGGATTGGAAAGTTTCCGAGCCTCCAAGGAGGGCTGGGCAGAGGCTGCTTTGCTGCTGGTTTGCTTTATGAGCATGGAAAAAGGGACTTGCAGCTAATGTTTGTCCTGGAAAGCGTTTTAGTCAGTAACCTTGCATGGTCCACAGCACAGAGCAATCACTGCTTTAACAGCAAGTAGTAACCACTTCTGTGTGTCACTTTTTGGAGATGTGTTGGAAGCCTGTTATAACCTATTTTTTAGTTTATAATGGGCACTTGAGCACTCGCAGAATACTAAACCATATTTGTGCAACACGGCACGGTCTTGTTGAATCTTCCATTTGGAAGGAAATCTGAAGTAAGTGTGAAAGTACGCACACCACGAGTACTTGAGAGCCTTCAGTAGGGTAACACGCAGTTTTAGGTGGTTTTCTCAAGGACTTGTTCCAGGCTGACTATTGCTTAAAGCTTCCAGAGCAGCAGTGGTCCTTGTGAAGTCAGTGGGAAGTTTGCCAGTAGTGCCAAGATGTTATGCCCAAGCTTGGCAACGATTAAATGAATTTGAGTAACCTTTCCTTATATTAACAATCTGGTGGAATTCCACTTGCTTGGTTTCACATATGTTTGTAGGATCAGGCTTTCTATGAGCCTGGTGTTCATGTCAGTTTAACGTTTGTCGTTCAGATAAAGGAAAATATTTTCCCCTCTTATTAAATATCACCTTACTAGAAGTCATCCTGCTGTAGCAGGAAATCTCTGCATAGGAAAGTAGGATTTTAAGATGACTGAATAAGAAGGAGATGGCTCAAAAATAAGCCTATGAATGCGGTCCTGAACTTCTTCCCCATCTTTACTTCTCATGTTGCTTTGGTAAGTCACTTAACTGTGCCAGGCAGTATCTTCCTGTACAGAGGATGAGTATAACTGTCACTTACTTTTTTAAAATGTTATAAGGCCTGAAGGAGTAATATCTACTCAAAATGACACTTAAGTTCTATTTAATTTTACATTATTTGGTTTCCAGTAGCTGCTAAAATGGTTAGGTTTTGAGGACCATAAGGCTACAATTTTTCCATAGTTTAATGGTTTGAATGCATAACCAGTATCCCTTTATATTCTGATTTGCTTTTCTGATAAGGAGAATTTACCCCTTCCCTGCCCCAGCAGAGGAGACACTGTAACCTTAAAATCACAGATGATCCTTGGAGATTTTGAGGAACATCTGACAAAAATGAGAATTACTCTAACTGTGGTATAAGAAATGATGAACCAGTAATGATCTCTTTATTCATTAACATCATTAGCCCATTGTCTTCCCCCTGCGGATGGAAGTGGCTATTCAAACACAGAATACATGGTAAATAACACATATTACAGTGTGGATCATTTGACAAATCACTAAAATGCTGTCATCTCCAGGTAATAAAATTCCTACCATGTAAACAGGCACTCAGTTGGTTTTACGGTAGGTAAGAGAAAGGAAAAATAGAAGTTCTATCTTGAAATAATATTGTGCCTAGTTCCCCATGAGCTCACCAACCACAGTTTGGTGGCCTCAGTATTTACTTTCCCTTTTCCATCCTTCTCGCTCTCCAAGCACTGTCATATCTTTAAGTCAGGGCACTACCTTTGTCTTTTTCAATTGGAAGAAATGTTGCTATGTGAAGCCATCCTATGTTACCCACAGCCTCAAGGCTTATGCCTGGTTGCTGATGCTGGTCTCATCCCACCCTGTTTTGCTTATGCAGTCTGGTGAAGGCATAAATCATGCATCCTTAGCTTGCACCGTCACAGTGCAAGCTTTGCAATGGTTAAAGTTTTACGACTTTCTCTACTTTCTCAATTTGCCAGAATGAGCCCCAAAAGCACTAGGTATAATAGGAAGTGAGCCCCAAAAGCACTATGTATAATAGGAAGTGAACCCCACTGCTGTGTGGTTGCACACAACACAACACGTCCCTGCTCTGGCAGTACTTCTACAACACTTACAACACTTTGCTGTGTATCTCTACCTTTTTTTTCTTTTTTTTTTACAGAACAGCTTGAGCCTTCACACAGCAGTGTTAAAACCAAACTCCCACATAAGAGCTGACCCCCAGATGGCAGCTTACCTGCTCAAAGTAGGCTGAGATTCAGCATCAGCTGAATCAAATACTCTTGGTGTTCTTCAGCAAATCCATTTGAAAAGGTTTTCCTTCTCTGGTGGACTACCTAAAACAATTTAGAGCAGAGTTTCTGGCCATCAGCTATAAGTAAAATGAAACATGTTTTTTTGTTGTCTCTGTTTGCAATGCAGGAGTAAAATAATCCTTGTTAAAAAGCCATGTTACAGTGGAACCCAATGCTTGCAGCCTGGAAGGCCATCTGTGTTCTGGGCTCCACTAAAAGAGGACAGCAGGGACAGGGAGCTGATCGTCCCCCTCTGCTCAGCTCTTGTGAGGCCCCATCTGCAGCACTGCGTCCAGGCCTGGGGTCCCCAGTACAGGAAGGATATAGAGCTCTTGCAGCGGGTCCAGAGGAGGGCACTGAGATGAACAGAGGGCTGGAGCTCCTCTCCTATGAGGAAAGGTTGAGGGAACTGGGCTTGTTTAGCTTGGAGAAGAGAAGGCTGCGGGGAGACCTCAGTGTGGCCTTCCAGTACTTGAAGGGAGCGTATAAACAGGAGGAGAAATGGCTGTTTATGAGGGTGGGCAGTGACAGGACAAGGGGGAATGGTTTTAAATTAAGATGGGAAGTTTAGGTTAGATAGTAGGAGGAAGTTTTTCACACAGAGGGTGGTGACACACTGGAACAGGCTGCCCAAGGAGGCTGTGGATGCCCCAACCCTGGAGGCATTCAAGGCCAGGCTGGATGTGGCTCTGGGCAGCCTGGTCTGGTGGTTGGTGACCCTGCACATAGCAGGGGGTTGAAACGTGATGATCACTGTGGTCCTTTTCAACCCGGGCCATTCTATGATTTTATGATTCTGTGAGAATTGAGGGTATCAAAATAGCTCAAGAAGATGCTTTTAAATGCTAAACACCAGTAATCAGATTGTGCTCAGCTCAGATTGCTTCACTGTCCCTTACACTTGCAAAAGTTGTTCCCAAAAATGGGACGCTGCCTTTGTCCCATTAGAGTAATGACAGAGCCTTATTTTTTTCCTTGGGATTTCTTTCTGTGTTAAAAAACATACATTTGCATCTTCTTCAGATGTGAGTTCTTTGATTGTTTGTTTCTTCCTCAGTCAGGTCAGAAATATGCCTTGATATATTGTATAGCTACAGCAAGAATATAAGTGTTGTAACATTTCATCATTATTATAGCCTCAGCAACGTATGTTTTCACCCCAATTTTATTGCTATCTGTCCAGGACTGAAGCATAACTTAATAAAGGCTTCTCTCTGCTTCACTCTGGCGTATCATAATCTGCTGAAAATTAAATAGCATGGAATGTGCAGTTGAAGCCCTATGCTATTTAACTTACAAAGTATTTTATTTCAGCTGTCTTTTAAACAGTTCCCAGGCTAGTTCATTATGACTCTGCTTACAATTGCTCGTGTTCCTTCTGGTAATGCATTCTGCAAACTCTTCGAAGATCAGAGAAATCTAAAGTTTCATTTCTCTCTGAGGCCAACATCTGTTTCTGCAATATTGTAGTAAAAGCATAACTGTATTTTTATTCTGTTAAGAATATATGGCTTTATGAGGTTTGATCAAGTGAAGTAATAAAGTACTTTCTTAAAAAAGGGCCAGGTACTTCCCAGAGCAACAGAGAAAATATTATGAGGGATGAGTCAAGTCCTCTAGTCTTAGGGAACAGTCCTGGGCACAGCCTTTCCCACGCAGTTTGTTATTCTGTCTGACCTCTCCCTCTCCACATTTCTTGAAGGCTTGGTACCCAAATTTCAAAGACAGACTTGATGCAAATGGTGCAGCTTTCATTTACATTTTTAGCAGCGGTCCCGCCATCCATAAACTGCAAGAAAAGGAAGGCAAGTCAGTGTTCAAGGAAAAATTTGTCAGCTATAAAGCCAGACATCACTGGCAAAAGACAAGCAAAGCTATACAAGTAGTCCTTTTTGGCACCAGTGCCTGGAGGTTACCTGTCTGGCTGGTGTGTACTGATCCAGCTGGGGAGGGCTGGCACTGTCCTCATAGCCTGAGATGTGGCACAACTTGCATGTTTTGACATTGCTAGTAGGTCGCAACACAAGATACGGAGCAGAAAACAATATAAGATTTACACTCTTAGGATTTGTAATCTTGATCATATCAAGGAAGGGTTTAAGTAACTTGATAAGGATTCTTTCATCGTCTTACTAACAGTGAGGGGAAAAGGGGAAAAGAGGAAAAGGAAATTCCTTAATAGCTGCAGAATGCAGTAACCAGCAGAACTGTAAGGACAACAGAACCAGTGCCGTTTATCATTGCAGAAATATTTGCCAGTCTATAGATACTGAAAGTTTCTGTACTTCTTTGTTAGAGTTAAAGTAGGTTCAGTAATTAGAACATCTTGCCTCCAAAGTCCTTACAATTTCTTTAGATCTGAACTATTTAATATTAAATTATGTTTCCTAGTCTCACTATACAACAACATAAAGTCAGCTATCTGAAGTCAATTACATTTCTTCAGGTGCCTGTTCAGGAGTCTGACTAGACTTCAGTAACTTCAAATGTTTTTTTCTTTCATTAACTGTAGGTCTTTATCAAAGTGTTGGATAACAACGATAATGGTCCGGAATTTTCTCAGCCAAGTTATGATGTCACCATCTCAGAGGACATCCTCCCCGACACTGAAATTCTGCAGATTGAAGCTATAGACAGAGATGAAAAACATAAACTGAGCTACACTATTCACAGCAGCATTGATGCAATCAGCATGAGAAAATTCAGAATTGATCCCAGTGCTGGGGTGCTCTATACTGCGGAGAGATTAGACCATGAAGCTCAAGATAAGCACATCCTCAATGTCATGGTAAGAATGCAATATTCACTTGGCTCAGGACGCAACCACTGCTGTTGCAGTGCAAACATGCCTTGGTCTTTGCTTGAGTAAAGTACTTTCACTGCAGTATGTAGCCATTAATTTCATATTGCCTGCCCTGCTGTGTATTTATTTTACCTTTTTTATTTGGACTTCTGTGAAACTTACTGTGAATTCATTGCACCTCATACAAAATGATTTACCATCTCAGAGGAGAGCAAGCAGGAAATTATTTAATCTCTTGGCATCTGGTCTTCTCACGCCAGGTAATTTTCAGTGTTTCTGGAGTGAGGCAAAAGTTATTTGAGAAGTTACTCGCAAGGAGATAACTGTGTTGTTTTCTTCTATGAGTCTATGATTTCTTTTGCCATACACAATGCTACAGCCCCTCTGGATACAGACCTCATTTATAGTTTGCTTACAGACTTATTTTAGTAGATAATCAGTGATATACAAAGTAGTTTTCAACTTCTCTTTTCCAAGTGTTTGAATATACAGAAAAAAAATTTACTACCATTTTTTGCTCAGTGTGCATAGATTACAGAATTTAATTCTCTCTGTTTCAAGTGAGTGTTGTATATTATGAAGTGGGAGTTAATAACAAAATATCTGCCTTCCTTTAAACATTGCAGATTGATATTTATTTAAGTACTTAGGAGCCCTGCAGAACAGTTCTGTAAAGGAACAGTTCACAACGTATGAGGCACTGGGCCAACTTTGAGTGGGTAGCCCAGGAATCAGGAGTTGCTGAGGTTTTAATATCAGGTTGAGAGAGGGACTTTTCTCTCAGTGATACTTCTGTTGGGAGTGCTTGGCACTTCTTAAATTTATTTCTACTCTGATTACTGTAGATATCATCTTCAAAAAGGTATGTATTTATTTAAAATATATTAAATTATTAATTATATAAATAATTATTTAAATATATTATATATTTAAAAGTCCACTGGAAAATCCACATGTCAGACTGATAGCTAGACAATTCTACATACTACAGAAAGAAGGAACAATGTGCAAGGTTTCTTTGTCTGTGAAACAAGGAGTGTTAGGGTAAGGGCATGACCGTATAGCATGTATTACAAAAAAAGAAACCTAGAACTAAATTTAAGATGTCATCCAAAAACGTATCACAATGATTACTTACCATGAATTTTTTACAACTGAAAAGAAAAATCTCTGAGCTTCTTGAATTTTAATATTTACTGTCTCTGTGCAATGTGTGATTGTGTTTTAGACTGCACGTTCCTTCGGACTAGTGTAATTACATTGCTTTGTATTAAATAGACCTCAAAGCACTCAGATAACTAATATTAGTGAAGTTTTAATGGATGGATACCCGGATGTACATTACGTACTTTTTCTGTAGGTCCGAGATCAAGAATTCCCTTATAGAAGAAACCTGGCCAGAGTCATCATAAATGTGGAAGACTCCAATGACCACAGCCCTTACTTCACCAGCCCACTGTATGAAGCCTCAGTATATGAATCAGCAGCTGTGGGATCAGCAGTTTTACAGGTCACAGCTTTAGACAAAGACAAAGGAGAAAATGCAGAGCTTGTCTACACTATTGAAGCAGGTTAGAACAGAGCATCGGTGCAGAACCTCATTGACATTCACTCCATGATCCTTTTACCTTTAAATCACTCATTCAAAGCCATCACAGAAAAGTTATTGAAAGCTACTGGCTTGAAGGTAGTCCACAGTAGATCCTCCACAAAAAAGTGACACAACGGCTTGTGCAATCCGCCATCTTTTCCAGTATTTGGATAAGAGGAGCATTGGGACTATAAATGGCCTGCAAAACCATAGTAATTTAGTGACATGATGGCTCTTGAATGTATGTCTATAAAAACCTAAGAGAGGCCACAGTGATATCAGAATGAAATTACTTTCATTGTTATTATCTATATGCTTATATTTACCATATAAACTGAAACACCAAAATCATATTTGCTGGTGTAACAGCAAGGCAGTGGGGAAATTGCATTATGTCTGCTACTCATGCGAGCAAATGTAACTTTCCCTGCTTTACATGGATCTGAAGTTAGGCATTATCTCTAAGTTAAATAATTAGCATATATGCAAGTGAGCTGCCTGGGAGAAAAAGACGAGGAAATGGAAATTGTAACCTTTGGGGTTTTTAATGTTGCATTTCCATTATATGCTTTTTGGTAATACAAATCTTCCCATTATGATGCTAACAAAACTTGACTACGTTGCCCTGAGCAGAGGTTTCATATGCTGCAGGTTGTCCCCATTTTAACCAGACATCATGCCTTTCCCATCATTGACATTGATCCACCAGAATCATTGTTTATCCTGATCTTATTGCAAAAGCTTTTCACTAACTAGGATGGCTTGAGTCAATTAGGAACAGGTCAAAAGACAAGTACTGAAGTAAGAATATTTACAGCATCTCGTGCTAATATAACTTTACATGGTTTGAGCTCAAACCTTAAATTTAGCTGATATAACCCTAAGCTTAGAGAAGAACCAAGGAGTCTTAGTTTCTGTCATTATCCTGTAGCTCTGTGGTAACAGAGTCTTTTAAGCAAATCAGAGGGTGACATTTTTTGCAGCTAAAGGTGAGACTCTTGTGATCCTACAAAGACCTTAGCATTCCAACCCTTAATATTTCCTTTATGCACTTTGGTCTTAGTAGTGATTTTGCAGTATTCTCCAGTCGCCTTGAAAATTTTACGCATGCCCAGGCAGGACAGCACTGTTCAAATCAGTATCCTTATCTGCAGAATGCCCTACAGAACAAACCCTGAGTAGACCAGATCAGCTCTGTGGGACAATGTATCTCAAGTCTACTCCCAGTTTTTTCTGAGTGCCTTATTCTGATGGGCTCCAATGCAATCACCTTTAGGTGCCAACGTAACATAAAAAGCCATAAAAAGCTAGAACTGTGGCTGTATTACACTGGATAGAGAATATGTAATGCAGACAAAAGTACAAAGATCAGAAGGGATGCTTTCACTATCAAATGGTTCTTTTTCAGTCTGCGTTTTTTTTTCTCTTTGCTAGAAGCTCTCCTACTACAACCTGTTTCTATTTCAGCACAAGCTTTCTCTGCAGTGTCAGACTTCAAACTTCCATTTGCTATAAGCCATGCCCTCCCACAGATTCATTATCTATCCATAGATGTTCAAATCCCACATGCATCAAAATACAGCCTTTTGCTGCTGTGTGATCCATAAAATCTGTGCAGTTAAAGATACTGATTTGAACTGCAGCATTCAAATTGTATACAGCCCCTTCATTCCAGTGAATTACTTGTATCACTTATGTGTGAAGAGAACAACTGGTAAAGAAAGTAATTTCTGTGAAATTTCAAAACTAATTCCTAAGGGAGAAGAACCAGCTCTGGCCTTACATAAGGCAATCAGTGGCTACAGATCTTTTGTATTTGCTAGTCTGATAGAATAACAACAGTGGGCTTTTGTAGCAATGAGACAACCTGCAAATGAGACAAATACTGTGATCTTTATGAGAATTTGTACCTCTGGCAGAATCTCAGCTCCTCAGTGAATAGCACAATTTTTATTTTATCTAGCAAAGTAAACTACAGATCTGAAAGGATGGATATAAATAGAAAGCTACTACTGGCATTGATCTACATGCAGCAGTATGTAGCTTAAGTTAGCCTCCAAGTACCAAAATTTACAACAGATAGTGAATCACATCTTTAAAATAATACACATTAAATGTCTTCATTTAGGATTCTATGTATTTGGTATTTCAGCTACAATCCTGCACAGCACCTGTAGCAATCACCACTGAAACAAATCTGTATTTATCACCAGTTACCTGAAACATGATCCTCTCCACCTCATGGATTGCAAGCAATTTTCCACATTGAAGTATAAATTATCACAACAGCAGGGACATGTTATAATGATTGGAATCACTGTAACTCAGTACAAACTCAGTTTGCTTTTAGAATCAAATTCAGAAAAAGAATCTGAATGCCTATCCAAGCCATCTGCACACACAGCATCCTATCCTTTAAGCAGGCACTCAAGGAGCCAACAAAATACCAGTTGTTTAATAAAAGCAGTCTGTAATTGCAGGTAGGGATCATAGCAATAGTTTTGCCTTGCTAAAGAAGAGGCAGGCAGTATGGCTATGTAAAAAGTGGAAAAAAGGCCCTTAAGAAGGTCCCTTTCCAAACTCACTCTTTTCACCTTTAAGCAGTCAGTGGTGTCTGTGCTTGTATGTTATAACAGACATTTCATGACATTTTCTGCTAAGTCTCATTCATCTAGATTCATCCTCCTCAGGGATCATACAATAAACCTTTGTGCCACTGGATACTTTAATCTCTTTTCTTTGCTATTTGTTCAATTTTATTTTTCTAAATGCCACTTTAACCTTTCTATATGCAGTTCTTTGAGTCTTGAACTACTGTAATCTTCTCCACGGTTGCTTAATATCCCTTTCAATTAAGAGACTGAGTTGTTACCCATTTGTCATGTAATTGGCTTGCTAGCCTCTGATCTAATTTCATTGCCTTAGGTGTACATGTAGTTGACTAACTCCCGTAATTTAGACATGCTTTTTCCTTGTTTGGTGGGAGTAGTGTACATTCACCAGGTACTGCAATGCTAAAACTCAGCATCAAAATAATAAATACCAGCACCCAACTTTTTGAATATTTGAGTACCTGTAATGTTACTGAAGGGGCCTGATTTTGAGAAAGAAAGACTGGAATGTCCTTTGGAATTATTTTACACTGGTTGTGTGTTGTTTTTTTTTTACAAGACAACTGTCTTTGATAAATTGCCACTAATTGCTCCATAATAATCATTTGAATGTATTGTATTTCATTTCTAACTTGCTTGCAATGTTTATGTTTTAGGAAATACAGGAAACACATTCAAGATTGAACCAGTTTTAGGGATCATTACATTACTGAAGGAGCCAGACCTGACTACAATGGGACAGTTTGTTCTGTCGGTTAAAGTGGCTGATCAGGGTTCTCCACCCCTGTCTGCAACAGCAATTGTACGGATATCGGTGACAATGGCAGATAACTCCCACCCTAAGTTTACCCTAAAAGAATACCAAGCTGAGGTTAATGAAAATGTGGATATTGGTACTTCTGTCATCTCTCTTTCTGCAATCAGTCAGTCCACATTAGTTTATGAGATTAAAGATGGGAATGTGGATGGAATCTTCGCTATAAACCCATATTCTGGAGTCATCACCAGTCAAAAGGCCCTTGATTATGAACGTGCTTCCTTCTATCAACTCATTGTACAGGCAACGAATATGGCAGGGATGGCATCAAATGCCACAGTGAACATTCAGATTGTTGATGAAAATGATAACCCTCCAGTTTTTCTCTTCTCTCAGTACTCAGGCAGCATAAGTGAAGCTGCTCCCATAAACAGCATTGTCCGGAGTGCAAATAACAGTCCCCTTGTGATTCGTGCCACTGATGCTGACAGTAACCAGAATGCCTTGCTTGTCTACCAGATTGTTGAATCTACTGCAAAGAAGTATTTCACGGTAGATTCCAGCACGGGTGCAATCAGAACAATTGCAAATTTAGATCACGAAACAATAGCCCACTTCCACTTCCATGTTCATGTTAGAGATAGTGGAAATCCCCAGCTTACAGCAGAGAGTCCTGTCGAAGTTACCATTGAGGTAACTGATGTCAATGACAACTCACCAGTCTTCAGTCAAGCAGTGTTTGAGACTGTCTTGCTTCTGCCCACATATGTTGGTGTTGAGGTTCTCAAAGTCAAGGCTACAGACCCAGATTCAGAGATCCCTCCTGAACTCACGTATAGTCTAATTGAAGGCAATATGGATCATTTTTTGATTGACTCAAACACAGGCGTACTCACCATTAGGAACAGTAGCCTCTCCAAAGACCATTATATGCTAATAGTAAGAGTATCTGACGGGAAATTTTACAGCACTGCTATGGTGACAGTAATGGTAAAAGAAGCCATGGATAGCGGGCTACATTTCACACAGAGCTTTTATTCTACTTCTATCTCAGAAAACACCACCAACATCACAAAGATCGCTGTGGTAAATGCTGTTGGTAACCGTCTTAATGAGCCCTTGAAGTACAGCATATTGAACCCAGGCAACAAATTTAAAATCAAATCCACCTCAGGAGTCATTCAGACAACTGGTATATCCTTTGATCGAGAGGAGCAAGAGCTGTATGAATTGGTGGTGGAAGCAAGCCGTGAACTGGACCACCTTCGTGTTGCTCGAGTGGTAGTGAGGGTTTACATTGAGGATATAAATGACAATGCACCGGTGTTTGTAGGGCTTCCGTACTACGCTGCTGTGCAAGTTGATGCTGAGCCTGGTACCCTGATATATCGAGTGACGGCTATTGATAAAGATAAGGATGAAAATGGTGACGTGTCATATCTTCTGAAGGAAGACTATGGACATTTTGAAATAGATAGGGGAACTGGTAGCGTCACTCTAAAAGAAGCTTTCAATTCTGACTTATCTAATATAGAGTATTTGGTTGTAATTCTTGCAAAAGATGGTGGCAACCCATCACTGTCTGCTTCAGTAGAGCTCCCCATTACTATTGTTAACAAAGCTATGCCTGTGTTTGACAAGCCCTTCTACACAGCCTCTGTGAATGAAGACATAGAAATCCACACACCAATTTTAAGCATAAATGCAACCAGTCCAGAAGGCCAGGGTATCATTTATATCATTGTTGAAGGAGATCCTTATAACCAGTTTAATATTGATTTTGATACTGGGGTTCTAAGTGTCATCAGCCCATTGGACTATGAAATAAATTCTCTTTTCAAGCTGATGGTGAGAGCCAGCGATGCCCTCACTGGTGCTCGAGCTGAAGTCACTGTGGACTTGGTCATTAATGATGTCAACGATAATCCTCCAGTTTTTGATCAGTCAGCTTACAATGCTACTCTGTCTGAAGCATCTTTGATTGGGACTCCTGTATTGCAGGTTGTTGCTACTGATGCTGACTCTGACAATAACAAAATTGTGCAGTATCAGATAGTCCAAGACACCTTTAACAGTACGGATTATTTCCATATAGACAGCACAAGTGGCTTAATTCTGACAGCACGTATGTTGGATCATGAACTCATACAGCAGTGCAGCTTGAAAGTCAGGGCAACTGATAATGGATTCCCACCACTTAGCAATGAGGTTCTTGTTAGTATTTCAATAACAGATATGAATGATAACCCTCCTGTTTTTAACCAGCTGATATACGAATCGTATGTAAGTGAGCTGGCACCTCGGGGTCATTTTGTGACTTGTGTCCAAGCCTCTGATGCTGACAGCTCCGATTTTGACAGACTGGAGTACAGTATTCTATCAGGAAATGATCGGACCAGTTTCATTATGGATAGCAAGAGTGGTGTAATCACCCTTTCCAACCATCGGAAGCAGAGGATGGAGCCTATGTACAGCCTAAATGTCTCTGTCTCAGATGGGTTGTTCACCAGCACAGCTCAGGTGCATATTCAGATCCTTGGTGCCAACCTCTACAGCCCTGTGTTTTCACAGAGTGTTTATGTTGCAGAGGTCAGAGAAAATGCAGCTCCTGGAACTAAAGTGCTCCATGTGAAGGCCACAGATGGAGATTCGGGTGTATATGGCCAGATAAGCTACTCCATAATAAACGACTTTGCCAAGGACCGATTTTTGATTGATAGCAACGGGCAGATCCTGACAACCGAACGCTTAGACCGGGAGAACTTGCTGGAAAGTGATATCGGGATATTTCTGAGAGCGCTTGATGGAGGTGGCAGGACGACGTTTTGCACTGTGAGAGTGATAGTAGTGGATGAGAATGACAATGCTCCCCAGTTTATGACAGTTGAATACCGAGCAAGTGTCAAAGCGGATGTTGGGAAGGGTTACTTGGTGACCCAAGTGCAAGCAGTAGATCCAGATGATGGAGCCAATTCTAGAATTACCTATTCTCTGTATAGTGAGGCCTCAGTTTCAGTAGCTGATCTGCTTGAAATAGATCCAGACAATGGATGGATGGTCACCAAGGGTAGCTTTAACCAACTGAAAAACACAGTTCTGTCATTCTTTGTCAAAGCAGTTGATGGTGGCATTCCCGTGAAGCATTCTCTCATCCCTGTCTACATCCATGTTTTACCTCCAGAAACTATTTTGCCGTCCTTTTCCCAACCTCAGTATTCCTTCACCTTAGCAGAAGACACCCTCATTGGCAGCACCATTGACATTGTGCATATTGTGCCTAATCAGGGGGCTTTGTATAGCACAGTTAATGGAGAGCTGACAGAAAACAATAAAGATGGTATATTCGTCATTGAACAAGATACAGGACTAATAAAACTGGATAAGAGACTTGACCATGAGACAAATTCTGCTTTTCACTTCAAAGTGGCAGCCACCATTCAGTTAGACAAAGTAGACATTGTCTTGACGGTGGATGTGGAGGTTAAGGTGTTGGATGTAAATGATAACAAGCCTGTGTTTGAAACAGCTAGCTATGAAGCCATAATAATGGAAGGGATGCCTATAGGAACAAAACTTATGCAAGTTAAAGCAGTTGATGTAGACTCAAGTGCAAATGGGCAGGTCACATATACACTTGCAGTGGAATCGGAGCTGGAAAAGATCACAGAAGCTTTCACCATTGATAGCAACAGTGGCTGGATCAGCACACTGAAGGATCTGGACCACGAGAAAGATCCCACTTTCACTTTTGCAGTGGTGGCCTCAGATCTGGGGGAAACATTATCCCTGTCATCAACCACCTTGGTCTCAGTTGCTGTGACGGACATAAATGATAACGCACCTGTCTTTGAGCATGAGGTGTACAGAGGGTCTGTGAAGGAGAGTGACCCCCCCGGGGAGGTGGTGGCTGTCCTTAGCACGTGGGATGAAGACACATCTGATGTCAACCGGCAGGTCAGCTTCCATATTACAGGTAAGAAACAACAAGCATGCTTTCTTCCCACAAACAGCTGTATTGAAGAACTGTGTGTTTGTCCATTGCCGGAGAAAGATTAGAAGGGTTTCAGCTAAATTATCAAGGTAAATCTGACACTTCTATCTCCCTTCAACCTCTGTATCCTTAATTTGCATGGACTTTTGCAGCAACTAGTAAAACTAGAAAGGGAAAACAGCAAAAGGGAATGTGTGTTTGCATCTGTGTGTTTCTGTGTTTGTTTGGATGATTCTAATTTCCAAGAATAATTCTTCATGATTTGCTGCAGTGCAGTCAACCCATCATAATTGCTGCACCAGCTTGTAAGTTACAAGGTTTCAGACAAAGAGAAGAACTTTTAATTCTTAAGGAGAAAATATTTGCACTTTCAAACATTTACATGTTTTTAAATAGCATTTTTATTTTTGAGATAGGAAAATGCTACAGGAATAATTTTGAAATTATTTTACTTATTAAAAAAAAAAATGCAGTGCACATTGGAGCAAGCAGGGAATACCATTTCTTATCAGCACAGATTTCTGTCTAGGGAAATGGTAATCCACTCTGAAATACTGGTTAGCTGCCACACATTGTTATATACAGCATGAGGCAATTTCAATTACATTACTAACATATTTTTCAAAATGCTCTTTCCTATTGTGCTGTATTTTATTATCTTTCTTTTCTCCTAGATTCAGGCTGGATTTTATGTGAGCATATTATGAGTGATGAGGTGCTACGGTTATTTTTCTGCCTGCAGCTTGCATTGTCCAATAGATTTTTTTAGGGAACCACTTTGTCATTCCCCCTAAACTTCACCATCCAAGAGCTATTTCTAATTACACAGTAATAACCATATTGTTAGACAGATTCACATTTAGTACACCTCATAGGACTGGTATCACACAAGACAGCATATAGATAGAGGGCAGTGGGCAAAAATTACAAGGATGACAACTCACAGGATAACAGTTTGTATATTTTTCTCTGGAGGACAAGACTTGTGCTTCTTTGTTGGTTACCAAACTGGAAGTGACAGTGGGATGCTTTGTAGAGACAGGTGGGATCTTCCAGTTAGCTGTAGAGTGCCTGTTACACATCTCAAGTAGTCTCCTCAGTGCAGCCAGAAATCCATTCTAACTACTTATATAAGAGCCTGAATTCAGTTTTAAGTTTCCTAAGGGCTGCTGTGTTTGTGGTGTGGTGTGTGGTAGGATATTAGAAGGAGAAGCAAAGAGCAGACCTGTGCGTTAAGCACAGGATCTGGAGGCTCTAAGCAAGGTGCGTTAGCTGGCAGTATCTTGGTTTCCACATAACTAAAACTAAATAAGCAATGCTTCATTCTAGTCATTTTGTAATATTTTAAGGAATTTTGAGATGTCAAGATAGAAAGTGCTATAGGAAATGCAAATCCTTCATATCTGTAACAAAAATATTTTACTGTATGCTGACGATTAGCTGAAGGTACTGTTTTCTCTTTGTTCTAAAGACTTTTAGTCATCTCTTCTAATTAATTATGCTTTTAGTTATGTATTTATCTGTTTTCTTCAGATTCCTATGCAGAAATTGGACTTTTGAATAGTAACAGTAACATATGATTTGCAGTTTTATATCCTTTTGTACCTTAATTTGTACCACACTTCAAAATGCCAGATATTTTGGGGTTTTGTTGCTTCTGAAAACATTTGATGTCAAAGCCTCAACCTTTCTACAGTGCCCATTGCACAATTTCTAAGGCATATGAGCTCAGAATCTCCTCGGTCTGAATATATCCTTTGAATTCAGAAGATGCACTTAGAGAAATTAGAGTTTTTCTTAATTAAAATATTAAAACATACTTAAGTGTAGTTTAATTAATGAGTCTATTCACACTTCACTCCAAGTGAACCTTGGGAACTGCACTTGAATTTTTCATGGAGTCAGATTAACTGTGTGATTATTCAAATGCTGTCCTTTTGGAGGCATGTGGGGGTCTCGTAATTTCCATGAATACAATAAACAAACTGAGGTAAAAGAGGACACTGACAAAAAGGGAAAAGAAGACAAATTATGAGAATGACATTTGGATCCATCAAAACCAGCTTTGTGCAAATGCATCGCTTGGAAAGTAACACACAGAAAAGAGATGGAAAGGAAAGATCTAGGGGATGAAAGGAAGTGACATTCCGGGTCAGATATGATTATTAATAAGCACTTTGTGGTTTTTTTTTTAAGAAACACAAACCCTTACTGTGTCTTTCTGATCAGCTTTGAAAAGGAGAAGATACATTCTGGTGGATATAACTATTCTGTTTTGAACTCCTTCTTTGTAGGATTGATTTCCACAATTACTAGCAGGAAGTTGCCATTTTCAAACCAAGTTTCATCAGCATTTGATGGCGGAAAAAAATTCTGTAGTTACCTTTTGTTATTTGAGGCTCAGTAGTAAGTGGAGATTTCACAGAGAAAAAGTGTAATAAAAATCTTAAAATCAACAGAAAGCTTAGGTGATACATGTGTGTTTAGGGAGCATAGTGTTTTTCTTTTGAAGGCCCATTTGAATTCACCGCCTGTGTAACTTGAGGCAGTTTGACAAGCACAAGGGCTGTGCCAATGTTTAGGTAGGATATTGAGCCATCCTAAAGCCAGCTTCATATTACTGAGACTGAAATGTGGTTGGATAATAGGACAAATTTCTTCTCAGAAAGAGTAGTGAGGCACTGGCACAGGCTGCCCATGGGGTGGTGGAGTCACTGTCCCTGGAGGTGTTCAAGGGAAGGGCAGACGTCACAGTGAGTGACGTGGGCTGAAGGTTGGACTGGTTGATCTTTGTGGTCTTTTCAACTTTAATGATTCCATGATTCTGTGATTCTAAACTAGGAAGAGCCACAAGAAGAATGTGAGTTCCTAGGACTCTCACCCTGTAAAGTGTTTCCCGTTCCCCAGTGCTTTTAATTAGGTGCCATCAGACATGTAAATTGAAGAAGAGACAAGCGTTTGTATTTGGTTGAACTAAATAGAAAGAATTTAGTGCATTTGTTACTTCTGGGGGAGAAAGTTCTAGTGTTATGTGCAGTAATTACCTTGCTGGATCAATTGCCCACTGTGAGCAAACAGACTTGTTTGTTTGTTTGTTTGTTAATTTTATATTTGAAATCCTGGTGTTCTGGAGAACTGCGTGCTTAAACCTTTGTGGAAGACTTGTACTGCAGACTTGTACTGCAGACTGAGGGACAACTTCACAGTAACAAAGATGTGAGGACTGAGTTTGTCATTTTGACAGCAACATCTTAAAGTTAAAACTATTGATTTTCTGCTGCACAAACGCCTGGAGTTCTAATTAGGATTTGAAAGTATCTAAACAGATGCATGAACGTAAGAGAGAATCTAAATAAATAAGTTAGTAAATATTCAGTTCTCCCTCCCAGATCAGGATATTGTTGTGAAAACTGACACTGTTGACTTCTAGTGTTCTGTTCCCTTTTGGCTGTTATAATTCCCTCTGTGTGTGCTTTAGTAATGATGTGTGTCAGGATCTGTTTGTTTTGGATCACTGTGTCTCTGCATATCATTTGTATCTGGCTGTTTTCTTTCTTGTCCCAAACTTGAGCTTGATTTGGCTTTGTACTATTTGCTGAGTAGGAAGGGACAGAGAGTATTATTTAAACTTCATGTAACAAAAGATAAAAGATAAGGCTGATTCTTCTAGCCTCAAAGCCATTCTGGAAAGTTACTGGAGTGTTTTTTGTAGCTAGCACTTCACTGTTGTGACATTCAAAGCAGAACATAAGAAAACTGCCAACAGATTTTAAAGAACCCATTAATACATGCAGTCAGGAGGCTCCCCTTTAGAAAAGCTACATTATTCAGAGCGAAAAACTAATTAATTAGAACACCCCTAGGATACTGAATCTGCTTACATATATTAGTGAAAAAGTTAATTAATCACTGCAGAATGAGATCTGCATCAAGACATATGTACTCTCACAGAAGTACTGGGAAATGGTTCCCTGAGCCACAGTGTGGATTTTTTTGCCTTTCCTGTTTTTAGAATATTGCCTTGGCATTATTTCAGTCTTTCCAGCTTGTTAATTCCGTTACCTGTATAGCACAACTTTGTCTCCTATTAAGAAACTATATAGCCACTCCTGAGAACTGAAAAATGAAGGAAGCAGTAGTGAAAAAGCATGCAGATAAACTGTTTTGCATGTGTACTGCGTGTTGCACAGTTCATTCCAAGCAGTACTCTTCTAGTAAAGTAAACAGGGAAAGAAAGGGATCTCAGGGACCATTTTTTAATACATATTGCCAAAATTCCTATATGTGGTTCTAAAAGTATTCCATTAACAACAAAGCAACAGTGATTTTAAAATTGCTTTGAGCTATTGTAAATGCCAGCCACAAAAGCCACAAGCTGATTTTAATTAGATTTTAACTTTCCTTCTTACTTAGCCATGGGATAGCCGTACCTGGAGTGTAGCGCTTCACAGTAGCTCTGGACAGTTAATCATTTCGTTTTACAAAGGAAATAATATGCAGGAAAGCACTGATTGATATCATGAAGCTAAATAGGAGTGCTTAAGACCATTTTTATTAATGGTATACAACATAAAACTCACTGTGACAAGATTACAGCCTTTTCTAAAGGAGAGTTAGGCTTTTTTGTGCTGATGCTGAACTGAATAGAGAGAATTTAATGTTAATCAGCAGGGGTCTGCTTTCTTAGACAGTCACATTAAGACACAAGCCAGTGGGTAGATTCTCATTGCCTTGGGTTGTATTCAGCTCTGGCCATCAGTGCACATCAACGTGGTATGTAACCCTTTTTAGGAGAAATTGGTTTGTGCCAAACAACGGGTTAAATAAGGTCTAACCAAGTTCTCTGATGATTATTCCAAACTGTCATAGAAATTAGTGGGAAAATTGAAATGTGCTCGGCTTTGTGACCTAAAAAGGTGATTTTCTATCAGCAGAAAATATCCGTGTTATCCATGGTTGATAAATTGGTTTTGTGCTCTATATGACTTCAGGGCCTTTTATAATTATAATGCGTATCTGACTAATTTTCTGGAAATCTTATTCATTACAACGTTGTTTTTTTTTGCACAATTGCAGTTGGCACAAATGGTGATGCTTAACAGGGAAGATTTGCTCAGCCTGTCTCAACTTAACAGCTTTCATATCAAACAGAAACCAGTCTATCTTGTCATTGGTAGCTAATGAAAAAGGCACAGATTACAGCCTGTGACCTCTTTTCTGCTTTTTGATATACAAAGAAGGCAAGAAACGTGCATTACACTTTCTTGCTCCATTTTAAGCTCAGTTTTAAGTTCAGATCTCTTATGTTTTGCTAAGATCCCAGGGAACTGACAGAACTGTGACACCCGAAGCAGCAGCAGTGACAGCTAATCACTTGACAGCAGAGGCAGCTCAAGTAAATTCAGCCCCCCAAAAGCACTTTTTCTATGTTGGATTTGTGTGGGTTTTTTTTATAAATACTTGCCCACTCAAACATTGAACATAAGCACTAGAGAGGAAGGTTTAAAAATCTCATCTTGCCATTAAAATTGGACAAATCCGCTGACACATGTCAGGACTCTGAATAACTTGTGAGCAAAACCAAACATGGCATGTTTGACATTCTTGATCCTGCCACAAGAAAGAATAAGCATCATGTCCTTAATATTTCTATACCACTTTTATACGTGAGAAACACGGAAAACAGTTATGAAATAGCATTTTTGTACAGAAAAAACAGGCTTAATATTGAGGGGAAGTAGTACTGGGTTAGCTGAAGTTAAAGTTAGCCAATCGAGACGCATGATAATTTTTTATCATATAATCATCATGGAATCATTTGAGTTGGATGGAACCCTTAAAGGCCATCCGGTCCAATCACTTTGCAATGAACAGGGACACCTACAGCTTCATCAGGTTCTCAGAGCCCCATCCAGCCAGACCTTGAGTGTCTCCATGGAGGGGCATCCACCACGTCTCTGGTCAACCTATGCCATTGCCTCAGCACTCTTAGTGTAAAAAACATTTTCTTTATATCCAATCTAAATCTCTCCTATTTTAGTTGGAAACCATTCCCCTTGTCCTGTCACAGTGCATCCTCCTAAAGAGTCTGTCTCTTTCTTACAGGCAATTCCTCTAATGAATGAGTTTGCTATAATTATTTTGTGCTCTGTCCTAATCGTTAAACGTGCAGGTCTGCTTTTACAGGTATGTTGCAAGCTACATTGTGTTATAAATTACATTACAGACTTAGGTTAGATTCTGTTTACAGAGGACTGGGTACTTGGCTTAAAAGATCGCCTGTCCTCTCTGACAGGGGGGGTGAGAACAAGCTCGCAGAGCGGTGATTCATAGAATCATAGAATGGTTTGGGTTGAAAGGGACCTTGAAGGTCGTCTAGTTCCAGTCCCAGTGCTGTAAGCAGGGACACCTCCCTCTAGACCAGGTTGCTCACAGCCCCATCCAACCTGGCCTTGAATGCTTCTAGTGTGGGTCATCCTCAGCTTCTTCCAACTTGTTCCGGTGTCTCACCACTCTCAAGGTAAAGAATTTTTTTCCCAATATCTAGTCTACATCTGCCCTCTTCCAGTTTAAAACCATTGCTCCTCATCCTCTCACTACCTGCTCTTATAAAATGTCCCTCACCAGCTCTCCTGTAGGCCCCATTCAGGTACTGGAAGGGGTACTTCTCTCACTACCCAGTGAGAGGTCCCCCCAGACCAGCCTTCTCCAGGCTGAAGAGCCCCAGCTCTCTTAGCCTGTTCTCATAGGAGAAGTGCTCCAGCCCTCTGATCATCTTTGTGGCCCTCCTCTCTACCCTCTCCAGCAGCTCCATGCTATTCTTATGCTGGGGCCCCAGAACTGGACACAGTAGTCCAGAACAGAGGGGCAGAATCACCTCTCTTGATTTGCTGGTCAGGCTGTTCTTGATGCAACCCAGGATACAGTTGGCCCTCTTGGCTGCAAGCACACATTGCCAGCCCATGTTGAATTTTTCATCAATCGACACTCCCAAATCCTTCTCCTCAGGGCTGCTCTCAAGCCATTCTCCACCCAACCTGTATCCGTACTTGAGATTGCCCCAGCCCAGTGTCAGAACCTTGTATTTGGCCTTGAACTTCATGAGGTTAGAATGGGCCCACCACTCAAGCCTGTCCAGGTCCCTCTGGAGAGCATCCCTTCCCTCTAGTGTATCAACTGCACCACTCAGCCTGGTGTCTTCTGCAAACTTGCTGAGGGAGCACTTGATGCCACTGTCTGTGTCACCTACAGAGATGTTAAATAGCACTGGTCCCAACACCAATCCCTGTGGAGCTCCTGTTTCTACTTGGACATTGAGCCATCGATTGTGATTCTCTGAGTGCAACCATCCAGCCAAAATTGACAGTGGTTTTTATTTCACAGAGCAGGCAGAGGATTGTCCCATTTCAAATAAACATGGAAATAACTCACAAACATTAACAAAGAATTGTGCCTGCTTTTATTCCTCATGTCTTTCTGTGTGTGAGATGTCCATCCTTCCTTCCTGAGGATGATGAGGGCACAATAGTGCCTTCTTCCAGCCTGTTGTTGTCCCCATGCAATTTAATGACGTGGAAGAGCAACCCTGGAAGGCTCAGTGTCAGTGGTACAGCATGATAAAAAGCTGTTCTGCTTCGATTCCTGCAGTCCTTGCTGGCTCTCTGTGCTTTCACCCTCTGATACATTTGATGTGATTGTAGTGCTTATCTTCTGACTGCTCCTCAAATGACCTCTTGTTAGAACTATTTTAATACTAATGTGTCTTCCTGTGTCATGTAAACTTTTTTTAAAACTAGAATTTTAATGAGCAGAAGAATTGGCACAGCTGTATGATAAAGCTTTCATTAGAGGATTCCTTAATAGAACCTACTTCCAGTCCTTGATTGCATAATCAACAGCTAATGAAATTGTCTTGGTAACAAGAGCCGTGGTGTATTACATTCTCTCCTGAGACTAAGTGGAAAGACAATTGTACCAGCCTGAGAGGACTATTGATTGTTCACAGTTTGAATTTGATTGCCCTTAAGGGGAACTAAACAAGAGATCATCTTCAGCTCTGCTAAATGGATTTTGTTTCCGTGGAAAGTTATTGGTTCACTTTCATACAAGGCATTCAGGGGGCAATAAACACAGAGAGCATAATCTCATTACAGACTTCTCGAGTCTGCAAGTTGAAATGCACCTATCACTGTGAAACAAATGACAACTGCATATTCCACATCCTCTAAGATGAATCTGTGTTTGTGTTTAAATCAAATGGGAGCTCTGAAGGGATGTCCTTGCCTGTTGCATGTTTCTTGTCTTATTGCAGGGGGGAATCCCAAAGGGAAGTTTGCTCTAGGACTGGTTCAGAATGAGTGGAAGGTTTACGTAAAAAGGCCACTAGATCGGGAAGAACAAGACGTTTATTATCTGAACATCACTGCCACAGATGGCCTCTTTGTAACCCAAGCTGCAGTGGAAGTGACTGTCACTGACATTAATGATAATAGCCCGGTTTGTGAACAGGTGAGTTAGCAAAACCCACTGCAATTGACTATTGTGCTGAAAGTGATGGATGCCACTGTTGGATTTGCAGGTGTCCATTTTCAGCCTGAAGGTCTTATGTGAAGGAACTAGAGCATCCTAGAGAGAAGCAGGATGGAAGAGTCTGATGAAGCCAAGGTGAAAAGACAATGGCCTCGCAAAGGCAGTGGAATCTAAGCTAACTCCAGCCTTTCTGATGATACCAAGTGGCTAGCAGCCAGACCTAGCAGAAGAGATAGAAGAATGTAACTTACCTTCACATTGTCAGTCATGCAGGCAGTGTGGCCTGACCACTGCTCTCACAGAATCATCTCTCTCTTATTCTGTGGAAAGATAATGTGAGGACTAATATTAATGCAATTGAAAGGTGTGCCCAAAAGAAAAGACACTATGAAAACTCTATTTCCTTAATGGTACTGCTCACAAAATCTTATTTATACATTTCTGTATGTAATTATCATCATTACATTATCATCAGTGGACCATTGTCATTGCAAGCACCACTCAGAAGAATTAGTCTTTATCTCTCTCAGTATTGCCGGATGATGTGATAAAAACAGCTGTCTTCATTAGCACGCTTAACAAAGTTTCCATTTCACAGGTGTCAGTGAAAGAAATGGAAGATGGAAAATGTGACTGTATTTTATGCCTAACATTAACCCTGTTAAGAGTCATAATTTGGCAGTGTTTTTGTGACACCTCAAAGCTGAACACTGATTTGAATTTCTAGGGACATGTTACAAAAAGGAAAATTGTTAAATTGTTTCCTTTACAGAAAAATGCACTAGATAGTTTTTTGGTTTTTTTTAAAAAAAAAGAAGTTTGCAAAGGCTATAAAATACTGTTATTGCATAATTTACACTTCTGTTTTTATCTCTAGGTTGCATACACAGCACTGTTTCCTGAAGACATTCCTTCAAACAAAGTCATTCTAAAAATCAGTGCTAAAGATGCTGACATTGGGTCCAACGGTGAAATTCGCTACTCTCTTTACGGTCCTGGGAACAATAAATTTTTCTTAGATCCAGAAAATGGTAAGGTGACAACTAAATATTTTAACATAATCCCCTCAACACCAGCAGCAGGGGTTTGGGCAGAATCAGGGTATGTTTGGTTATCAGTCAGTTGTTCCTGTTCTGGAAGGCATGGATGAGCACTTCTGAAGCAGAAGTGCTGCATTGCTAGCAGAAGGAGGACTGGGTTTGTTGGCCAGGTTGGATGCTGTATTCAAGACCATCCATACTGACCCTTCTGTTTCCCAGCCAGGCCCAGTTAGGTCAGAGATGTGTGGGGCTCTCTTGGTGCAGAAGAGAGGAAGCTGCCAGCACAATCCTTTAGAATTTACTTCTTCCACATTGGTCTGGGCTTCTTGGTTTTTATAGCATGTGAGAAAAACATTCTTTTTATACCTAGAATTTGTGAGAGAAAGGATATCAGAAATTCAGAGGTGGTTGGAGGTTAAAATATGTGGAAAAGAAAGGGCATTATTGGCTTTATTTTGAACGGTAGCATTAGCACTTTGCAGCTCAGTATGGCTACTGTCATCAGTAGATTTAGGGTGCTTCCCTTTATCATGAAGTCTTTTAATCTTGAGAGTAATGAAAACAGACTTGTAAAACCATACCATATTAGTCTGTATGCCTTCAAAAGCTACTATGAGGGCTTGTCCTCCCTGCACCCACAATGCCAGACTATTTAGTTGAGTGGAGAGGAGGCAGAAGTGAGACAGCTGGAAGTTTTTAATCCGTTGATTGGAATAAGCAAGGCTATTTCTTCCTCTTAAATTCCAGTGAAATATGTGTATTTGGGATATGCCCACTGACAGAAATTAGTGACGTTCCTACAGCTGTAATGGTGACTGCTGCTTTTAATCAATTTTAGGTGAGCTGAAATCCTTGGCCCCACTGGACCGAGAGAAAATCCCTGTGTACAACTTGATTGCTCGAGCTACAGATGGTGGTGGCAGGTTTTGCCAGTCAGAAATCCATCTTATTTTAGAAGATGTTAATGATAATCCACCAGTGTTTTCATCTGATCACTACACTGCTTGTGTCTATGAGAATACAGCCACTAAAGCTTTGCTAACAAGAGTCCAAGCTACTGATCCCGATGTTGGTAAGTGAATAAAAAGTGAAAAAGAGCTAATGTTCAAGAAAACTCTATGCTATTACAACTTCAATACTGATGGATTTTTCGATAGCTGCCTTTCTTTGTTCTTTCCTCCATTTGTTTCTTCATCCACCCCATTTTTTTGTCTTATGTTTCTTAACTTGCAAATACTGATGGCTAAGCTTGGCGTGATAGTGTTGCAAACAGGAAAAGCAGTGCACCAGCACTCATACTACATAAGAGGTATGTAGTCTTATACTCTTCTGATCAGTGGGGATAAATTGCAGCTTTCTTTCTCCACTGGCCTCACCTCCTTTCTTGAGCTCTGGTTTTGAACCCTTATGTCTTTACTTACGCAACTACTATAGTTACATGCCATAGGGACCTATATGTGTTTAATCACAGCTTTGCTAGAGTTTTATATTGCTATAACTCCCATTTGTTCCAGCTGGTTACTTTAGTATAAAACTATTGTTGTACATTGTGAATGTACATTGTAAATGTTCTGGCTGTTGAACCATAGATTAACACTGAAATTTAGGCCCAATTATAAATATTTGAAGAGTTTATTTTGTGTAGCACGGTGGTTAAACTTGCTAAACATCATATTTTATTTTGAGCTCATTCACTTCACCTGGAATAAATAAATCCCACAGTTTATCTTTTTCTTCTTACGGTTTTGGAGGTGCTTTGTAAAAACTTCACATAAGAAACAGGCCTTGCATTGAGTGATAAAAATTTAAGTTTAAATATTGCATTTTAAGCATAGTTCATGCTGGAACTCTCTGTTACTAATGTTAGTAGTGTAAATATACAGCAATCAGTAAAGGAGCAGCAAGCATTCATTAAAGTATCTATGAAGAGCTGCATTATACGCTTGGTTGAAAAATCACAATTAAAATTTATGACACCATCCTGCAGTGAAGAGCCAATTACTGGTAGTAAACTACTGAACAGTCTGAACACCAAGTGTTGTTGTTTTCCACTGTTGTCTTAATTACCATTTTTCTCATAGGTGAGATGACTTTCAAGGAGCGGGGCGACACAGGGGATTAAAATTGAAAGTTGTCAATAGAAGTTCTTGTTAGCACCAACTTTACATAATAAGATGGTTAGCTAGGAAAAAAACAGGAGCTAATTGCTACATCTCCTTTCTGAAACAAGTTAAAGGGAGGGCTGTATGTGATAAATGAGAAGGGGGTATGGAGTTTAATAATTAGACCTGAAATCAAACAAGATCGTATGAAAGTGACCATAGTCTCTGAAATAGGACTTTATATTAATTACTGTTCTATTAGTCCATACTAAAATTTAAATCTAATACTAAAATCACTGATTTCCTGCTGCTACATAATGAATAAATTCAGGTAGTGTAATGTCCCTGACACAGAGAAAAAATTTATTATTGATATTCTTGATGAGCTATGAAATTCCTATAGAGTTTTATGCAGAGTTTTCCTGAAAATGAATGAAGCCTAGAATCATCATAGTAATCAATTTTTGGCATTAAGAACATTTGTTTTATAATAGGTCTTAAAATTTTCCCATTCTTCCGCATTGGGATTTGAAGAACTAGGTACTGTAAGGGTAGGAATATCGGCAAGGAGGCTGTTGAGATAAAACTTGAGAGAAGTCACTAAAAATAATTTAATGTAAAACTGAAAATACTGTTGTCAGACACTGCTGGATAATTAAAGCAATTTGTAGATAAAGGGTGAATAGCATTGCATCCGCTGTATGCCTTTTGATGTCTCTTGGAACTCCTGAACTCATAATATTCTGGGAGTCTTCAGTACAGGAACATCCTTTATATATGTGTATATATTTGTAATTTGGTTACATGCTTAGGAACAACCTGTACCAGCTAGATGCACTGAAGGAGAGATATGATTTTTCTTCACAATACTCAGTAAAGGAAATGAGTTGAGCTATTAAGCATTTAACTCAGAGGCATAAAAGTTTGTTTCACATAACTTCTCCATGTAGCCAGGTATCTTTAATGATTGCTTGGAGGAGACAGAATATACACACATCCCTTTGCTAAAAAAAAATGTTACAGACATTGTTATAAAGCAGTTCTTTCTTCCATCTTCATTCTGTTGGAAAATCTTAATATATCCAGGAGATAATTATTCCTACTAGCTCACCACCGCAGGGTTTGCATGTGTGCAAACTAAGAAAGGAAGGACAAATGTTAATTTTACAGTTTGTCAGAAGAGTTCGCAGGGATCAGGTGGATTTTCCACCTCCCACTGTCTTCAAATCAAAGTGCCAAATTACTGAATTTTGTTCATATTAGGGCACAAAAAGAACTAAACCTGTAGCCTAGTTTGCTATCTGAGCTGCAGCTTCATAGTGATTTGCAGTCTCATGCATGTTTTATGTATACATACAGTGTTGCAGCCTGATCAAAGGTGAGGATTTCACAGAATCACAGAACATCCCATGTTGGAATGGACTCACAAGGGTCATCAAGTCCAACTTCTGGTTCCACACAGCACCACTCAACATCCAAACCCAATGTCTGAGAGCACTGTCAAATGCTCCTTGAACTCCAGCAGGTTGAGGCCGAGCACACAGCCCTGGGCAGGCTGTTCTATGCCTTGTGGTGCAGACCTTTTCCCTCACCCCCAGCTGCCCTCCCCTGTCACAGCTCCATGCCGTTCCCTGTCACACAGAGCAGAGATCAGCACTGCCCTCCGCTCCCTGTGAGGAGCTGCAGCCACCATCAGGCCTCCCCTCAGCCTAAAGCTGTGTTGCTGAAGCTTTTCTTTCTTTTGTGTGGCCATGGATGTTTTTCCGTGGGCTGTAACTAAAGCAGATCATGGTGTTTGCAGGCAGCAAAAAGGTGGCAGTGCTTTCTGGGCAAAGTTTTATGTTTGGACAACTGAGAATTCACATCAAGGACTTGGGTACAGCAACCATGACACTTGGGGCCATGTTGTCTGTGTGAGCAACTGAAGGCCTGCAGGATGTAGCACACATATCAAGGGACTCAGCGGGTTTAAGGAAAGGAGGAGAGGCTAAGCCAAGAGCAAAAATTACTATATCTTTTTAATAGTGTAAGGAAATGCAGTTATGTGGGGTTTTTTGGTTGTTTTTGCTTTTTTTTCACAAATGGTCAGAAACAGACAGCCTTCGAAGCTGTAGTGCTTAGGATATGAGGGAGAAAATGTGTGTTGAAATCCTAATTCAGGGAGCCAGGATAAGACTCTTGAGACTCCCATAGATAAGTTTATGCAGCCAGGTTATGCAGGTCAATTGTAGCTGAGTTTGTCTGTTTTTTTTTTAAAGAGTTGTGTATAGTTAAAAACTATTTGAGCTGAGATTTAGGAGACAGATTCAGTGGTCCTCTGATTAGTGCCTTTAATGTGGAGAGTTTTAATCAATCAAGTCGCTAATCAGCCTGGCTCTGGAGAAACTAATTATTCATCTATTCACACAAAGACTGTGGCAGAGGGGACTCGGCCCTTCTGTGGAATCCATTTGGCCTCACGCTGTGAGACCTCTGCTTTCTAACCCTGACCTCCTCCATGAAATGCAGGGGAGCAAACTGTGGTCCATCATCTGCTCCCTGAGCTGGGGGGAATTGGGTGAGCTGGGGTAAGGAGTGTCATTTGTTTTCTCCTCATGGTGGCAAGTTTTATCTTGGATTTGAAAGAAATCCCTGACAAAACTTTTCCCAGCAGTGTTTGATTCCAGTGAGTTTTGATGTTTCAATAAAGACTGGGTTTGTCAAAAAATAAAATACAGTCCTTTACCACGTACATTCATAAGGCAGGTGGACAGGAAATAAGAAATGTCTTTTCTAGGGAAGAATGGTAATATAAACTCTCCTTTAAACTTCAGTCCAGTCTAAAGTGTATCTATTCCCAAGAGAGTGGTGAGGCAAGAACGTTTTATCTTCCATTTTTTCTTGTACACTCCTTGGGTCAACAAGAAAGCTGAAGAATCAATTAAAAGAATAAAAATGAAATACTTGTCAAAGTAATGACTAAGAGACGCAGCAATCTGGGGTTTATCAAACAAAATGCTTGCCTGCAGAAAGTGGCATCAAAGTGCTGGTGAGCACAGCACAGGAAGAAATTTTTCCATTAGGTGATTCACTGATTGACTGCTTCCAGCAGCATGGGCATGTAATCAGTGAGTCAAAATTTCAGTGATACCAACTCTTGAAGGAATTAGGGGAACTAGCCTGTTGGTCCACACAGCCAGGCCTGGTGAAGAGTTATTGCTACCAGGTAAGATTGCAGAGGTGCCAGAGAGGAGTACAAGGTGGCCGCAACCTGATTCATACTGAATTTTCTGTATTATGAGCAATGGCAAGTAATACTTAACACTTGAAAATGATGAAGGATACATTGATTTTGACATTTGCTGGCAAAGCCACGTACAGCAAACTTCTGCTTCATGTACGGTTTGTTTATGTTAGGCAGGTCCCTTAAAATGAGTCTAGAAATTTTTGAGGCAGTCAAGATCTGAAAAAGAAGAAAATGAGGACTGAAACATACATAAGAAGAATAACACAAAAATAGTTCTGAAGAGTTGCTAAAACCCATCTGGTAGGTAGATAGTTTCGGCAGTGAAGCCAGCCTTAACTAGATGATATTTCTGGATGTTTTCTGAGTGTTTATAAAAATATGACAAGGGTGTTTCTTTTTTTTTTTTTTTTTAATTTATATGAAGCTTCCTATATCTTTACTCTCATCTTTTCCTCGCTGCCTTATAAAATAGTCAGAGGTTAGTACACTAATGCAGGATATATGAGACCTGAATTATCGATTCCTCTTTCTACAGCTATTCAAAACAACATTGCAAAAGTTGGTGGTTATACAGGCTCAGCTTACAGCTGAAGCAGGGGGTACTTTCTGCCATCACTGAAGCTGTTTTGAAAAAGGATTCAGGAATCAGATAAATGTGAGTGAGCATTGCTCTGTAGCCAGATGAGTGACTGGGTTCTGGGTTCCATTCCCCAGGGCTTATTCAGGGAAAAGTAATAGCCTGTA